TGATGCAGTCCACACACAGGGATAAAAATACATGGAAGTGAATGGGGAAACCTCACTTGCGTGAGAGTTCCATGTGGGTAACATGGTAAGATGAGGTTCTGAATCAAGATGAGCAAGTAGGAAAGTCTCTTGTTCTGAAGGCAGAGCAGGGAATGGCTTCTGCATGAGCTCATGGCTGGCTGGCTGGCCTGGCTAAGGACAGAGTATGTATGCCATCTCTGCTGTAAGCCCTCAAGATACAAGTAGGAAAAAATGAAAGAAAATGGACAGCATTGGGTGCTTAACCTTACAGCTCCTATTGTTCTGTTTCTACAGTCTGCTGTAACTGGACAAACAGTCTTATAAGCACTCCGAACTTGCAATGCACAGCTATGGTGGAGTTGTGGGTATGTTCTAGGTTACACTCAGTGTGTAAGAAGCTATGACGAGGCCCAACAATGCTGGTCAGCAACTTTTGCACACAGCATATGTTTAAAGCACTTCAAAAAGATCTGATCATCTAATCCAGTGTCTTGTTTCCCCTTGGCCAACTGGGTGTGTCTCGGAATCCCACAAGGAGGGCATGGAAGCAGTAGCCATCCCTACTGTTGTCCACCCCCCATAAGTGGGATTCAGGTGTTTCCTGCCTCACATCATGGAAGATCTGTTTAAATGTCATAGCTACTAACTACTGCTAGATTACTCTTCCATGAATCCCCTTTTCAATTAAGCCAGTTGCCATCACCGTGTCCCATCACAGCAAGTAATCACTTAACTATTTTTGTGATGTGCAGGGGTACGTTTTTCTGTCCCAAATCTACTGCCAGTCCCTCCCAGAATCCTCTGTGTTCTGCGGCAAGCAAAGCTTCAGGGGAAGGGGAGAGTTCAGTGTGCCAGAAGTTCCATGAAAGCAGAAAATTAAAAAACCTACACACAACAGTAGAGAGAGGGATCTAGCTCTCCAGTTCTCCATGTGGAACCACATTGCACATGATGACTTTTATGTTTGGTTCAGTTTTGTATTGATTCATTGCAATTGCTTTGGGCAATGGTGTCACTTTGCTCGAACATGGCATTAGAAAGGTAAGATGTGAATGAATCAAGATAATATTTGAAACTCTTGGGCAGGGGTCTGGGATTTCACCCCAACACTGCATGCTTAACTTCTTTGTGAATGTGCCAACGGACACAAGCAGACCCCGATGAATTTGGAGAGCACCCTCAAATAATAGACCCAGTGTCCAGGTCATGCATGTTCATGTTTATTTGAAAAAATGTTTCTGCTTGTGTAAGCTTGGCTTAATTTCCTGCAATCTTAATGGAGGATTTACTTTTGATGAGTCCAAACACAAATCCTCTTTCCTGTTCTTTCTTGTTCAAGGCTACATGAAAAAGGGCGGTACCTAAGCAATTGCTGGGGGTGGGAGAGAGGAGGGAAGCATAAAAACCAACGACTGCCCTGGGATTCCATCTAATGCTGCCTATAAAAAGCAGCTTTTCAAACGCAATCTGGGAAGACAAGCAGAGGGCTGCCAGACTCAAAAGTGTTTGAAGAGGACTGATTGCTTGTATTTATAGAAGGACGAATTCATTTTTCCCGGGCCGATTGTTGGTTTGCTGCTGCCCTATTAAGTCTGTCGTATGGGTAATAACTACTCTGTGATGCACAGTACCCAGATTCATTTGGATAGCACATTTTAATCTTTTGCAGTTCAGGCCTTTGGAACAACTCAATTAGGAGGTTTCAGGCTCCCCCTGGTGCTGGTTTCGTGTTTCTAGTGTGGGCTTTATAATAGCTGCATTTGAGTTTGTACTGGACGCCTGCGGCACAAGATTCAGTTGGCTGTTTTAGAATCCTTCCATTGGTGCCTGCGTAAACATTGTCAAAATTCACTCGTCCCTCATACAATACATGCACTGCACTATCTCCAGCGCTCTCAAACCCTTTAGGATTTCCAGATCCAGGAGTGGATACTGTGATCCACTTATGCAAGGAATGTGGTTGTTCTCCCCTGCCCCCGGCAGTCTCTTCCAACCCTGGGAAAGTTGATTTCTGGGGTCAGAGGGCCCACATGGAATAATAGGTGTCAAAATTGCTTTTCCTGCCTCTTCCATCAGCTGAGTTGCACAGATGGAAGATGGAGTGTGGAGCAATTTTTCTCACTGCCGCTCCCTGACCCACATGGCTGTTGTTCTTTGTAGGTCTAACAATGCTGGGAATCCATTTTCCTGGGGTTGGAGGGGGGGGGGCTGGTGAAAGAGTGACAAGTCATTGGATCCAACCTCCAGAGTCTGACAATCAGACTGATCTAACATGCACCAGTTAAAGTGCTATTGAGCCTGATTCCTGCTATCTCTGTGAACATGTGGAAGACAAAAGTACAGATTTAAATGTGTTTGTACTAGTTTTTAAAAAATCAACTGATGGCCATCAAGTAGGCTTACAATTGTATCTCAGCCGTGCTGGCGGTTTCTGTGACACCTATGAAATATACAATTTGAGGCATATTTTTATTTGTCCTTCCTCCAGGGTGGTGAACTGGGGAAATCATATCTTGCAAATAGTGTCTACAGGGACAATCCCCAAGTGATACTTAGTGCTTTGAAATGGCTGTGAGATGGGCCAAATGAGGAAGTGAATCCCTCACTTCGGTTCTTGTGTGGAGTTTTCTATGGAAGAGACAGCCTGTGAGTTGACTTCTCCCATGTTCTGCTGCTCACACGAGTGAAGTATCTACGTTAAGAGTTGTTTGTGGAAATGGGCAGACAATGGATTGTAAGAATCAGCTCTGAGAGAAAAGAGATATTGATTTCTTGCTTGTTTGATTTCATATACCGCCCTCTCTTAACGGCACAGAGAAGCTTTCTGCAGTTTAGTTGTATGTGTGGGTCTGTATTTCTTAAACGACTTACTAAAAATTGACCACATAAATAGACCCAGGAAGAGAGAAGGGAGGGAGAGGAGCAGAGAGAAAAGAGTCAGCCATCCCATACATGGAGCATGCTGAGTTCCCCTGGACGTGGAGGAGTGGATCTGCAGGAGCAATGGAAAAGTGGTCCATGAGCAAGTGTGTGCTGCTTCCTTTGCCTTTGTCCCTTGTGCAGGCAGGAACGATTGTTTTAACACCTCTGTTCTCCTCCCTCTGTCACTTGGCTGTCTCATCTAGAGCAGTTAGTCTCATGTTCTTAGTTAAACCAGGCCAGTACATGTGCAATCCTGTCATGTGTCAACTTCAGTATGCCAGCACAATGCCTGCCTTGGCTATGGATATCCAGGGTGCTAACATTGCATATATAGCAGCTGAGGGTTCAGCTTAGTGTCATGTGGGTAGGGTAAGTTTTTCTTGTCTGTCAGCAGCACTTTAAATTGAGTGTCTCCTGGATCTTATGGTGGGGGAGGCATCAGCGCCGCTTGCCTTGCTTAATTAGATTCCCGTGTGAACTGAACTTGTGTTTATGGTATGAGCCGTTGGAGTTCTCAGGCTGCTTCGCGCCTTTTCTAATCAACTCCCTTGCGAGGGAGTTTAGCCCATTGGGTTATCCAAGTTTGAAGTTCCTATATTATACTGCCCCTGTGTATTGTAGTCATTCTGGACAATTCTCTGTATGTTCATGATCAACCATGCTTTGGAAATAAATCTTACTTCTTTGGAACGTGGGTTTGTTCTCCTGCTTTGGGGGTCTGACACTAACATTGCATATATAGCAGCTGAGGGTTCAACTTAGTGTCATGTCTTGTGTGTCAGCAGCACTTTAAATTGAGTGTCACCTGGCTCTTATGGTGGGGGAGGCATCAGCGCCGCTGCTGGGGGCCCCGGCACGCAACAGTGCCTTCATCTGTCTGCCTCCTTTACCACTACAACAGTGCACTGAGAGAAACAAAGCCCTGTTGTTCACAAAAGTATGGGATGGGGACCACACATTTCATTTCCAGGCCTTGCTTTTCAGTGTGTGCTGACTCTGTTGCAGTTCCTTTGGCCACCTTAGCTTTCGACCAAGCTCCCTTCCTGTTCAGTTCTCCTGTTTCTCTCCATTTCCCCACCACTCCTGTTAGCAACATACATTTCTTCCCCTCTGTAGGCCCTCTGAAGTTTTCTCATGGCCACCCTTTGTTGTTAGTCTTTCCCCCCTCTCCTCTGCCCTCCTTTGCCTGAAGTAAGCGACCCTTTCCTCGGGGTATTTTTTTTTTTTGTCCACTGCTTCCTCTGTCACCTTCCTCTAGCCTGGCTCTGGTTCCCTTACCGTCTTACTTCCTAGAGCTCTTTGTGCTGAACTGACCAGTCTTCCTTTCCAGAAAAGGTAACATCGCCTATCAATGCTCCCTCTAAGCTGCGGAGTCTTGTGAGCAAAAATTCTACTTCATGAGCTACTGGCACGAAAGTTGTGAGTGAGCGATTTGGCTACTGCATAACTTAGTTTGCTCCGGAGCCATCCTTCGTGAGCTAAGACAAGAATGTGTGAGCTGGAGGCTAAAAAACTGTGAGCTAGCTCACACTAACTCAGCTTAGAGGGAACACTGTCGCCTATCCCTAGGGCATTGGTGGGGGCTTCCTCAGCCAAACTGACCCATAGCTCTGGGCTTTGTCTGGCATTACCCTTAGTGGCATAGGAACAGCTGCACACTGGCCAGATAAGAGGACCCTATACTGTGGCTTCCTCCCACTTCAGTGTCGCTCTGGTTTATGGAAGGGGCAACACTGATGTGGGAAGGAGCCATGGCATGGACTCCTCCTGTGTGACTGTAGACTTCTGACTTGCTGTTAAAGGTAATACCCAAAATGGTGGCAGAGTATTGCAAATATTCTGTCGCTGATAGCTCCCCTCAGAAGATAGATGTTGATGAATCACCTCAGCTGAACCAAGGGGTGACAAGAAGCTTTAGTCCCATTACGTGCCTTAGCGCATTGAAGCGTACATATTTACAGATGAATAAGCTACTCCTGGAAGTTTTTCCTCCCTGGATGCCACAGGTACTTGGCAGCGATACTATGTACTGATCACATGCTCTGCTCGTTTTATAGGAGCTCCTCAGAGATGATGTCTGCTCTGCGCTGGAAGAAGTAGTGGAACTTGAGGAGCCGTCAAGTGTCAAGAGGACTCCGACAAAGGTAAATGTAATGTTTCCAGCAAGTACCTGTCACACATCTCAATGCACTTAAGTTAGTAGCTCCCAACATGGTACTGCATGTTGGCATGGGAGCAGTGTGTTCATTGCTTTGTAGGATTTGGGTTTCTTTGGAGTGCAGCTTGAATTTCCTGTGTTATTGTCTTCTTGGCCCAAAGGCAGGCCTTAAGCCATGTCTGCCATACTTGGTCCGTTGGTCTGCAGTGGCTTACTATGGAAAGTCTGCCTCCCATGTGATTTCTGATAGAGGTTATCTTGCTTTTCAAATTCTGTATTGTGTTACTTGGAACTTGCCAAGCCAATATTTTAATTTTGATGTCCAGTTGGCATTTTGTTTGTGCCCTGCAGCATATTAAGCTGGTGTAACTGAAGTGCCCAGTGCTTTGCTTATTAAATATTTATATTATGGGATTTTAGCTTTTCCCTCATTCTGGACAAATTTCAAGAGAAACATGTTTGAGGGTATTCATTCTGTTTTTAATATTTGAAGTAGTGGTCTAAAAACAGGTCTAAAAGCAGAGAAGTATGAAGCTCCTTTGAGTAATTTACTAGACTTGTCCAGAAGCCTTTGGCTTCCTCAGATTCATTTCTTGAGCAGTATCATCCCCAAATTTACTTTGGGTTTGGCTTTACTGACAACCTTGGGATCTAAAGAATGCCCTGTCAGAAAATTGACAAAAACTTTTGGCCTCGCTCGAAATCCTCTGATTTGCTCTGAACTTTTATGGCATGGTTGCTAAACTCTTTTTGGCTTTTGCCTTTAGTTATTTGCTCTGTCCATTATGAATAAAGTTTTGTTGCATTGTTTATAGCATATAGTGACTTTACCAATGGGACTGTGATGATTGGTCCATTTACCAGCACATCTAAGTGTTGTAATAATGCTTTGCTTCAGCTGCCCTCAGATTGGCTGGGTAAATGTGTGTTAAGGTGATGACTAAGGGACTGAATTCCTGCACACCATAAATGGGTGTGCCTTGTAAGAGTTAAACCATGGAACAAATTAGAGGGAGGCTCTTGGACTGGGAGCAGGACCTAGTGCAAGATGTGAGTTTTGCTGGAACAATGACCTCTGTGCAATTGTTCAGCATTTGTGTAAATGGAAAGCTGCCCAACAAGGCCATATTTGTAGAAAACGTCACCAATCTTTTAGAGTTTTTAAAGCATTTACAAGCATGTGGATCTTTTCTTGAGCAGTATCATCCCCAAATTTACTTTGGGTTTGGCTTTACTGACAACCTTGGGATCTATAGAATGCCCTGTTAGAAAATTGATGAAAACTTTTGGCCGAAAATTGATGAAAACTTTTGGCCTTGCTCGAAATCTATTCATATTTTCTCTCAAGAGAAATCCTCTGATTTGCTCTGAACTTTTATGGCATGGTTGCTAAACTCTTTTTGGCTTTTGGCTTTAGTTATTTGCTCTGTCCATTATGAATAAAGTTTTGTTGCATTGTTTATAGCTTATAGTGACTTTATCAGTGGGACTGTAATGATTGGTCCATTTACCAGCACATCTAAGTGTTGTAATAATGCTTTGCTTCAGCTGCCCTCAGATTGGCTGGGTAAATGTGTGTTAAGGTGATGACTAAGGGACTGAATTCCTGCACACCATAAATGGGTGTGCCTTGTAAGAGTTAAACAATGGAACAAATTAGAGGGAGGATCTTGGACTGGGAGAAGGACCTGGTGCAAGATGTGAGTTTTGCTGGAACAATGACCCCTGTGCAGTTTTTCAGCATTTGTGTAAATGAAAAGCTGCCCAACAAGGCCACATTTGTAGAAAACGTCACCAATCTTTTGGAGTTTTTAAAGCATTTACAAGCATGTGGATAAGGGTGGAATAGCAGCCATTATATTCTTGGAATTCTGAAAAAGTTTTTGGCAGGGTCCTGTGCCAGAAGCTCCCAAGTAAGCAATCAAGGGATAAGATAAACAGGTCTTCTCATGTATTAGAAACTCGTTAAATGACAGGAAGCAGAGAGGGATAAATAGTTCTTGCGGTGGAGGGAATAAGCAGTGAAGTTCTACAAGTATCTGTATTGGGATCAGTGCTATTCAGTGAGTTCATAAATATTCTAGAATCAAGTGTGAGCAGTAAAGGGGCCAAGTTTTCAGAGGATACCAAATAATTCAGGGTAGTGAGAACCAAAATGGAAATGCAATAAGAGGATCTCTCTAACTTTGGTGAGCGGGCAACAATGTGGCCAATGAGGTTCAACATAAATAAGTTTAAAGTGGCTCACAATGAAGCAAAAAATCCTAATTGTGTGAAATACATTATTGGGGTCTAGACTGGCAGTAACTGACCATAAAAGAGTTGTTCAAATTGTTGTACAGTAGACAGCTCAGTGAAAATGGGTGGACTTAATGTGTGGCAGGTGTGAAAAAGCAAATTCCAGACTAGGTATTAGGGCCAAGATTAAAAATAGAACTGCCAGTATTGTAATAACACTGTATAGGTCTGTTCTGGTCCAGGTGGTAGCCTGCATCATGAAAGGGAAGGAAGGCCAGCTACAATAGCTTATGCAGGTCCTTCGTCAACTCCTTCCCTCAGTAGCCTTTACCACTCCTGCCAGGTAGTCTGTTTTTCTCTTCTCTGCCTCCAACCAATAGCCTTTTCTTTATAACGCTATAGGTTTCTTATACAACCCAGCAATCTCACAACTACCCAATAGTGGGATGGCTTTAGGCATGGGGTATGAAAACAAAGGCTCAGTAACTTACTAATTTTTATTTTAAGCATCAATAAAATAACACACACACACACAAGAGTTCTTAAGCAGCATATGCAAAGACCATAGGACCATTTGGGGTAAGAAAATTAACTTGTTCCCCATGTTGCTAAGATTCTAAAATAAAAAGTCTTGTAGCTCCATCTGGTTTGCTCTTTGCTCTTCTTGCTGTAATCAAGTTCTCTAGGGCTGCGGTCACACCCACACACAGTTCACACAGTAAAAATCCGGTTGGAAAGTGCACTGAAAGTGGGATGAAAGTGGATTATTTAGTGTGTGTGACCGCAGCCTAGCAATGATTTCACCTCTGGCATTGTAATGCCATTATTTCCACTCTTGCTTGTTGGCCTTTAGTTCTTCTTGTTTATATAGCTTAGATCAGGGGTCCTCAACCTGTTTGAAGCCTGCAGGCGCCTTTGCAATTCTGACACAAGGCGCTGGGCACAACCACAGAATGGCTGCTGCGAGGAGGCGGAGCCAACCACCAAATGTCAGGGAGTGAGGTTTTGCATAACGCTAATAGTAATTCTCCAGCATTTCAGGCAGGAACTTGGTTTAACAGGATGCATTATAAAATGAACATATTGTTCAAAAATATTTTATCGCAGGCATATGTCTTACTATCTTTGGGCTGTGGTGGCAGTGGCTGACAAAGTAACTTAAAAACAAACAAACACCTGCATTGGCCAATCACCTCTTTAATGGCCAAACAGAAGCCCTGCTGGGCAAAAGCCCCACCTGGCCCTTTCCATCTTGCAAGAACATTTGGCAGGTGCCAGGAAAGGTGTTGGGGTGCCATGATGCCTACAGGTGCCACGTTGGGGACCCCTGACTTAGATCTTGTACATCTTCCCAGATCTTGACAGTCAGTGAGGGCATCACTGAGTATCAGTTTCACTTCTCAAAAACTTACTCTTTAAGTCCCTGGGTGACCTTGCCAGTTTCTCTCAGACTAATCTGCCTCTTAGGGTAATTGTAAGAATAAAACAGAGGAAGGGTGTCATAGGTACACCAGCCTGAACTCCTAGAAGAGAGGGTGAGATAAAATTGTGATTGATTGGTATCGAGGACAGCCATTTCCGTTATGCCAGATCATTTCTCCCTTTCTCTGCAGGAGCCTGAGAAGAAACCTGTACATTTTAGATACATAGAAAAGGATCTGAGGAACCTCCATAAAGACCTTGTACACACGAGGTAAGAACAATGAAGTCACATCATGCAATAGCAGGGAAAGGTCTGAAGGCGCACAGTAAAGCATCCATTCTGAAGCTAATAATTCTGAGTGTGGTCAGTCCCGAAACAGGAGGTGCCGTAGAAAGCCTGTGTTTTCTGCCTTGACAGAAATAAATGGCTTCTGTGAAGAAAGCAAAGGAGTGTACTTGAGGATGCCATTTAGAGTAGGTGATAACCCTGCTGCCTGGCCTTGGTGACCCCATTGTCCAGGCCGAGGGCTGATTTTTTTTGGCCCAGATTGCAGCCTCTTTGCTCCATAGAACTCAGTGTGAGTCTCTTGAGAACTGAGCCAGAACCTACGTATGTAGCCTCACTGTTTTGGGGGGAAGGGCTGTGGTTCAGTAGTAGCATACCTTTTTTGCTACTACTCCCAGATTCAATCCCTGGCGGCCACACTTGAAGGATCTCAGGCAGAAGATGTTAGGTTTGTCTCTTCTACCTGTGTCCTTGGAGAACCACTGCCGCACGGACCAGATAACACCGAACTAAGTAGAACAATGGTCCAATTTAGTGTAAGACACATATACGTGTGTTCACTGCTTGGCCCCTCCCTGGCTTGTGCTTTTTACATGTGATAATACCGTGTAATATCTTTCAAATTGCTCTTGCTCATTAGCTTCATCTCTTCCTACATAGGATCCTTTGAGCCTCCTGATGTTTGATTATTTCGTGGCTTTTGCCATAACAATATATGGGATGGCTTTTGTTGAATTGGACCAAAGGTCCTTCTAGACTTGTACTAGACTGTCTTGAATTTGACTTCCCAGCCCTGGGTTTACTTTAATGAGAGCTCCTTTTGAGTAATATATCCCAAGCTACTTTTCCCCTGCCCTGGCATGTTATCCAATTTCGTTCTGTCCTAGAATCAGAACATTGGTGCTAGGAAGAGCTCCAGAAATGAAACTATCAGCTAAGCAGCATGGAGCAAATCCACTAAATTCTTTTTAAAAAAACATAGAGTAGATCTTTTTTGTGAACTTTTCCTGGGTCTTCTAGGGAATGCACAAGCTCCTTTGCAGCAGCCAGCAAGCTATTGGTAGGCCATGAGCTACCCAATCCACTTACCGTACCCAAGGGTCCTTATAGATGTTGGGATTTAAACCTATGGATATGTAACTGCAGCAAAATAGACACTCCATATTCCCACTTTATATATCTGTATCCTGCTTTTCAGCCCAGTCTTCCCAGAGCTGCTTACAGCAATTAAAACAGAAAATCGCAGATAGAACAGAAGGTGGTAGGAATATGGGGCTTGCGTACGGCAAGCTCTTCTGGCTCCTGACAGTTGTTGTCACAGTCCAGGTTGCAGACCCTTCCTTCCAGAGGGCAGCAGCAGAAGGACTTGCAGGTGGACTGACAGTCAAGATGACGCCCCAGAGGCTGGCAGATGGGAATGATGCCAGCCCTCAGGAGCCGACCTTCCACTGCTGTGCACGTTTTCCCCGTGACTGATGTACATGCTTATTCCTGACACAGAGATACGATAATGTAGGAAGAGTGTCACGTATCAAGTGGCCCTCAGGGATGGCACGTTAAAGCTGAGCAGAGGTAGCTTAAGCTTCATTTGTATTCCCTTTGTAGGGGGACAACCCTTTTGGCCTTTGTGCAGTCTTTAATTTGAATATTAGTCTAAACGCTCTTACAGCACAAGCATCAAATGGCGCTAAGAATGTCATGATTTACTACTAATGTGGTTTAGTAACAGCCTTCTGTAAATAAACACTGACAAATTGCCACTGCCAGCAATAGAAGGGCACACATTATAAGACGAGTGTTTCCACCTAGAGTAACTTTGTTTAAAACGTTTACAAGGCATTCTGGGAGAACAATCCAAGTGAGCAAAATAAGGCAGGCTGATACTAATCAGTCTCAGGGAAATTATGATCTTTGACTTGCCTGGATGTCATAGCCTATGGCTCGCTCAGGTTTTTCCTGACATTAACTTTACTCATGAGGTGTGAGGTACGTGGGCATGCGTGTGGATGTGATAATCTGAATACTGGGCAGGCATTGAGGAAGTGTAGGGTTAAGGTCAGGAGCAAAACAGGAAATTGTCCTGGGGCAAGGAGCTCTGAGGAGCATCTGGATGTCCAGAATTGGTACTGATTTATAGCTGACAGTTTTGAGTTCTATTAGGCGCACCATTTCCCAGAGAATAGGCTGGATTCAACCAACTTTCCTCCCGGTGATAAAAAAGGAGGAGGGTCTTTGACCACTACGGATCATGGGACCAGCTTGGATAAAAGCCATGTGGGATGGGGGTCTGTACCAAGGAATGCAATTAGGTGAGACTGAGTAAAAAGCCTCTATGCTGATGACTAAAAAAAAAAAAAATTCCAGGCCTTCCAGAAGATGGCAGCTTTCCTAACAAGGTAACCCCAGGCTGATAAACAGGTGCTTGGCTGCCTTTAAGCCATTTCTCTTGTGACCCCTTGGGAACTGTGTTCTGTGGAGCAACGTGTAACCCAGGGAGTTGCGTGTACAACGCTGGTAGTGTTGGTGTTGATGGGGAATTAGGGCTGCCAGGTCCCTCTGAGCAGCCAGTAGGGGACGGGGGAGGGGGTGAGCTTACCAGGAACTGGGAGTTTCTTTGCATGTTTCGGCAACGTGCCCACATGACTCCCATTGTGACCCGGGAAGTGACTTAGGCACGTCCAGGGAACGCTTTGGTTTTGGGGCAAAAACTCTATGCTAGAATTAGTTTCTACCATAGAATTTTTGCCCCAAAACCAGAGCGTCTCCCCAGTGTGCTGACATCACTTTTGGGTCATGTTGAAGTCACATAGGCACGTTGCTGAAATGTTGGGTGTTCCTCCCTCATTTTTGAGGTAATCCCCCCCCCCTCCCGTGCCGGCCAGCTAATTTGTGGCAGAGAGGTGGGGCCTGGCAGTGGGGGACCCCCACCGGGGAGTTTGGCATCTGAACGGGGAATCCTTAATATCAACTCATCTACAATAGGTCTGAGGTCCTAGTTCTTGAATTTCACAGTTAAGACCCATGGATGATTCCTGGAATTAACATTGTATGGTTTCATACTAGCTGTGTTTAGGGTGGATTTGTCACTCTGTTTTTAAAGACAATTCAGATGAAGGTGATGTCAGTCTGTTGCATTCTTCTGTGCTCCGTGTTGTTTCTCCAAGGGTTTTCAGACCTGATTTGTGGTGATTTTCCCCCCATACTTAAAATGTAATTACTTTGCCAGGCACTGCCGGCCACTGGAGAGAAAGAGCTGTAGAAATTTCTCAGGGCTGCTCTCTTTAAAGTTTTCTTCCTTCTTGTCCTTCCAGTATAATTACTTCCTGTTTTATCCTAGCTGTTAGTGACTAAATCAGTTGTAAATTATAAGTTCCTGTTTGGGATGGGAGTGGGATGGGAATGTAAGTACTGTTTTTTTATTTTGCGGGCTGATCAAAACCTTTGCAAATGTTTAACTTCATTTTTATGATAATTTTTTCATAATCAAGCTGTTATGATCATAAGTAATAAAATGTAAGAAAGAATCCTCAGACTTAGGCTTGGTCCTCAGAGAGAGAAAATGCCAGAACCTCGGAGATTTTTTAAAATTAAAACATCAACACACCTGGTTTGCAGAAGGAAAGCCCATTTCTGTAGTGGATGCTACCTATGGCTTTAATTGATACAAATCCAGTGTGATCACAGGCTATTAAATTTGAGGACTAGTGCTATCTGAATCAGTAGAAATTACATTTAATTGCCTTCTTATCATAACACACACAATTACAAACTACAAACAGTAGGAGAGTGTCAAGTACAGATTAAAGGCGAGATAATAAAACTCCGGTTACTCAGTGAAATAGAGCCCAGAACAGTGCAGAACTGAGATGTCGAACTCAGTTGTTGCGAGGGCCGGATCTGACATTAGTGTCACTTTGTCGGGCTGTGCCATGTGTGCCATAAAATGTAGTGCCAGGTATAAACTTTATAAAAGACACAGGCAAATCCAATTAATATTATTTTTTTTACTCAAAACACAGACATGCATAAAACATTAACACTCTTATAGTACCTTCTTACAGTAACTCCCTGATGCCCACCTCCCACTTTCAACACCCATTACTCATTAGCACTGGGACAGTAAAAGGGACATAATGCACAGCCTCTGTCCTCTGGCAAGAAAGGTAATGACCAGTTGCCCGTGGGCCAGATAAAAGCCTTGGAAATGCTGTATGTTTGACACCCCTGGTGCAGAATATTGGTCTATCCAGTTTTGCAGACTTTTAGAAGGGAGTCTTGGACTGCAAGAAGATCAAAACAGTCAATCCTAAAAGAAATCAACCCTGACTGTTCCCTGGAAGGCCAGATAATGAAACTGAAGCTCAAATACTTTGGCCACCAAATGAGAAGGGAGCACTCACTGGAGAAGACCCTGATGCTGGGAAAGATTGAAGGTCAAAGAAGACGGGGATGGCAAAGGATGAGCAGCTGCAAGTGGAGGAGGAGTGGGGAATCAAACCTGGTTCTCCCAGATTATAGTAAGATTAGAGTATGTGTACTGGGAAAGACTGAAGGTCAAAGAAGACGGGGACAGCAAAGGATGAGATGGTTAGACAGTGTCATAGATGCAACGAACATGAAATTGAGCCAACTTCAGAGGACGGCGGAAGACAGGAGGGCCTGGCGGGAGCTGGTCCATGGGGTCGCAAAGGGTCGGACTCGACTGTGCGACTGAACAACAACAACTGCACTGGGAGGGAGCTTACATATTTTTTGGTAGATGCACAGTCCCCCGCCACCTCAAGCACAGGGTAAAATTGATCTTCCCGTGTACAGCCAGAGGGTCTGCGCCCAGAGCTGATTGGCTGTCCCTTGCAATAATCGCCGCCTCCATTTCCTGCCCAGAGCTTTTCTGAGTTTTATTTTTTCCTAAACTAATATTTAATTAGATAAACATACAAAATCCTTTTTAAAAAAAGACAAATAAAGCATGGGAGGAGAGGAGA